AAAAGAAGAACACATAATCCCAAAATTCTTAGGTAAAAGCCACAGGTTTTAGTCATCAATTGGGGATGTCAGGGATGATTAGTTTTTCAAGTTTCCGTGTGAGACGAAGGATAATGACACCAATTTTGGCAGTGGAAAGAGCTCATGAAAAGAACCTGTTGAGTTTGAGATACTTTTGAGCCACCAAGTGGAGATAGCAACTAGATGGTAAAAGTTGTGTTCTAGGGCTCAGAAAAGTTGCAGCTGGAGGTACACATTTGTGAGTCAACAGCTGGTTGGCCATTAACACTCTGGATCAAGATGAGTCACCTTGGGAGAAAGAAGAAGGTGAAGAGAAGAAAGCTAACGATACTCATGGAGGAACATCAAGTTCAATAATCAAATGGAGGAAAATGACCCATAAAACACTTAGTAGAAAGTGCCCAAAACAAGGAGGAGCTCTTGGGACCAGGAAGCTGTGGCATTTGAAGTCACAGAGGAGAAGGTTTCCAGAACAGAGCACTCAGTGGGGGGGGAGGAGTAAGGCAAGAGGAGGCTAAAGAATGCCTGTTGCATGAGTAACACACAAGTCATTCCTAACTTTAGCAAAAGATATTTCAGTGGAGTGAAGAGAGCAGAAGCTGGAATACGAGGGACAGAAGTAGAAATAGAAGGTAAGAAGGAGTATTGACAGCTCTTTAGAAATGGTTGGGAAGAGGAAAGAGCACCAGCTGATAGGGGTTGTAAAGTTGCACAGATGTTTCTGCTTTGTCTGTATTGGGAATGGATGATTCTAGCGTCCTGAAGACTTGGTTGAAAGGAGTTGAAGAAACTATGGAGCCGTGATCCTAAACTCAGGGGGACAGGTATAAAGTTGTGTTGATTCTGGTAGCTCCTGCTCTCACATGGCCTATTCTGACTCTCTGTGCAACCTGCCCAAGGCTGCTCCTCTGACCTGGAGTGCTAGCTGCCCTTCCCTTTCTCAGATTTCTCCTCCCTCCTGTCTCCTCTCCTGCAGCCTGCTTGGCTGTTTTCATTGTTTCCTTCACCCTCTGTTAAGTTATTAATTTATCAGGATCTAGAATTCCCACTTCCTTTATCTCTTTGGACTGACTGTGGGCTCTTTTCCTGTTCACCACCTCAGCAAGTCAATATTTAGAAGGTTATTCTGCCAACACAGAATTAGAATTTATATAATTGGTATAAAGTGTAGAAGACTTCTTAAAGACATTGGTACATCGGAGAAAGGAATAAAAACATGCTCATCTCTCCATTATCTCCTCCCTGCCCCTCTTTCCTTGGTGCTTGGGATTGTATGCTGAGCCTTGCATGTGCTAGGAAAGTGGTCTGTCTACCCTCCAGCCCTTTTTGTTAAATTTTATTTTGAGACAGGGTCTCCTTACTTCCCCAGGTTGGCCTTGAACTTGTGGTCCTCCTACCTAGCCTGTTGAGTAACTGGGATTACAGGAATGTGTCACTGCACCCAGCTTCTCCATGTCCTTTGATGTGAACTTAAAATAGACTTTATTCAAAGTAATTTCTCCAAGAGGGTTTGGTTTCAAAGGGTTACCCGTAAACATACTAAGAATTATTGGATTTTTTTACATGTTAATTCATGGATTCAATTAGGATTAGGAATGATCTTTAGTTTCTAAAGCAGACTCAAACAAGTTGCCACTCAGACATGCAAATATTGTCTAAGATTCTTTACATAGATTTGCAGCAGTTCTTAAAGAGAATTGAATGGCTTTATCATTCCCTAGAACCTCAGAAGTCATGAGTCAACTTAATGTGGGGTGTAAACTAAGACCAGACAGTTCCCTACTCGTTGACCTACAACACACTGGTCATTTCTTGTCTAAGGATAAGATTGAGGAAGAAGTAACATTTTTAAGCATCTGTCATGATCAAATCTTTTACATGTGTCATATTTATTCCTCAGGATCCTCTGAAGTACTTATTCGGAGATACTTATTTTACAAGTAAGAAAGTAGGGCTCAGAACTATGGCAGATGGTACAAGGCTGGTCTTTCTGCTTACATGTGGAGGAGCCCTGTCGTTATTGTAATAGTAATATAGGTGGAGTATCTCTAAACCAAAAATCTGAAATTCGAAATGCTCCAAAATCCAAAACCTTTTGTGTACCACAAGTGGAAAATTTCACACTTGACCTCATGTTATGAGTAGATCACAGTCAAAACGCAGGTGCACTAAAAATATTGTGTAAAATTACATTCAGGCTATGTGTTTAAGGTATATATAAAACAAATGAATTCCATTTTTAGACGAGGATACCATCTTAAAAGTATCTCATTCTATACATGCAAACATTCCAGAATCCAAAAAACTCTGAAACACTTCTGGTCCCAAGCATTTCAGATAAAATATCTCTAATAATAGCAGTATCTGTGACCATCCGTTGAATCTTCAGTATGTGTGTAGGAAGAGGGGCTTCATGTGTGTCACACTAATTCATCCTTGTGACAATCCTGCAAGGACCACCATCCCCATTTTACAGAAGATAAAACAACTGCAAAGAGATTAAATTATTTGTCCAGTCACACAACTCTTTAGTAATTGTGATTCCATTCAGTTCCATCTGACACCAACATTCCTCTCTAAAGTCATCTTGTTTGTAAAGATGAGGATGGTTCCCGGATCCCAAGATCTGAGAGATGTATTTTTTTTCTCGGTTTTGTTGAATTTATAACTGCCTCCTGGCATTCCTGTTGAGCCAGAATACAAAATGTTTATTTAATCTTTCTTTCTTTGTCAGTCTTGGTATGGAGGACAAAAACATCAGATATTTCTGCAAGCTTCTAAGTTTTGGTAGTGTAGTTTCCCATCAATCTAGCAGCTTCCCCTGTCAAGACAGGCACAAGAACCCAAAATTAGCCAAGAAAACTTCAAGCACAGCCAGAATTAAATATCACAAGTTGCTGAACTAATTCCTTCACTTATCTTCACAAGAGTCCCTCACATGGAGCTGGTTGACTCCAGTTTTACACATAATTCTAACGGTCTTTGTCTATGCTTCCTCTATAGCAAAAAATAAATCAAAGTGGGCCCACTGTAGAAGAGGGCCCTGATGTAGGGTATAGAAACAACAGAGATGTGACCAGAGGTAAAAAATAGGACACAAAAAATGACAAGAGCCCAGAAGTATAGCTAGCTGAAGTTATTCTGGTGTCAAATACCATGTATCCTTCATAACGATATCACAACAGAGCGTTACCAGTTATTTTTTCATTATGATATAGACACTGAATATCCATGAAAAGTTAACATTATATCACATTATATAACATTAACAAGATATCATTATATTGGGCTGGGTATTTAGCTCCATGGCACTACGCCTGCCTGGCAAGTGCAAGGTCCTGAGTTCAATCCCTGGTACTGAAAAATGGAAAGTTTTGATCCCTGGTACCCCCCGCAAAAAATGGAAAGAGAAGATATCATTACATTATATCTGTAGTTTAGGAAGGTAATGACCCTGTGAGCATGTTTCTTTAGAAAATGGGGAAAAAGAGCTTCCTCCCCCAAAAAGCATTAGTACTTTCTCTACCCTTAAAATCCACCCATCCACGAATGATTCCTCAGAACCCTCTGTGCTATTTTTCTTTGTATTCCTGAGGCACAGCTTTTGGCACATGGTATAGGTTGAACATCCATAATCCAAAAATCCAAAATCTGAAATGTCCTAAAATCTGAAAGTTTTTGAGCAATGATGTGATGCCATGAGTGGAAAGTTCCGAATGAAGTTTTGATTTATGCACAAAATTATAAAAATATTTTGTGAAATTGCCTTTAGGCTATGTTTATAAAGTGTATATGAAGTATAAATAAATTTCATATTTAGACGTGAGTTCCATTCCCAAGATATCTCATTGTGTATTTGCAAATATCCCAAGCACCCCCCTTCAAAAAAAAAAAAACCCAAAATGTCAGATAAGAAATACTTGGCCTGCATCTGCCCACTAATGTTAGATGGTAACATGTCAAGCATGTCCTCAGGGTTTTGGATAGCCCTGTTTTGTTGTGGTCTCTTAGGCAAGCTACATTCCTGGATATATTCCAGGATGACTTTATGAAACAGAAAAGAGATTAAGACCCTGAAAGTTCAGTGTTTATTCTGCTTGTACCTGTGATTAAATAAGATGACGCTAAGCATCTTTTCAAATAACAACAATAATAATAATAAACATTCCACTACATAGTAGTTGCTCTTACTTATTATCACTGTCTTCATTAACATTGACCGCTGTTGATCACTGGGAGAAGTCATAAAAAAAAAGTTGGGACACATTTGAAATCCAATAGCTAGAACTAGGCTGAGAATTATGGGATCAGATTTCCCAAAATAAGTGGGGATTCAGGAATTTTCTGCAGGCTTCAGAACACACACACATACACACACACACACACACACACACACACAGCCTGCTAGTAAAGACTGAGCCCTGCATGAACCAGCCTTGATCTGAATGAGACAACCGCCTTTCAGAGAGTTCCAGGCAGCTGGAAGGTGCACATGCACACAGGTCATGGGCAGCCAGAGGCCCAGCTTTGTGCGTTTACTCCTAGCACCTGGCCTTCCCGCACAGAGCTGTCGTTTTACAGGTCAGGGCCATTTTGAAAAGGCAGAGTCACTGACCTGTTTAATGAGTGCAGTCTCTGCATGACAGCCCACATCCCTCTCAGCAGGGGCCAGGGAGCATTGCTAGGGTTGGGGCCAGTTCTCCTCTCTGTGCCTTAGGGATTTCTGGCCTTAACTCCTGGTGGAATTAGCAGGAGATATCTATTAATCCCTGAGGCATCCATCAGCAGACAGAGCCAGACTGCCTTTTGAAAGAAGTTCACTGACCCCTTGTTAACTTAACTCCTTGTTAGGAAATATCTAATCAGCTGTGAGCCAGCATGCCAGGGCCCAGGGGTCAGCAGAAGTGGGGAGCTGTGGGTTGGGTCTCCAGCTGTGTGCTTGTCTGGTGCCTGAGTTCTGTTTTGCTTTCCACTTTCAGCTATCTTTCAGATCATTCAGAGCATAAGGATGGGGATGTGAGACAGCCTGGCATCTGACTCTGTGCCCTCCCCCTAGAGGGTGGAAGACCAGGAAAGCCTGTGGCAGGTACCTGTGGGAAGCAAACAAGTCACAGAAAAGAAAGGAGGGTTCCCCCTGTTGTTCCCTGATCACTTCATCGAGGAAGTCAGACCAGATTGCCTTCTCACAGGACATCTCAGTGCTTCCATGTCCCCAAGCAGAAAGGACATTCTGCTGTTCTGTTGGCCAGATTGTTAGCCAGGCAGGTCACCTGCAGCAGCGCTGTCTGTCTGTCTGTTTTCCCCCTCAGTTTCACTAGTGTGTGCATGTGACCCCCTGAATGACCACTGGTTTACTATTTACTGATACAGTCTCTCCTCTGTCGGGAATTGGTTTTACAAATAAATGTCTTCATTCAAGCTTATACCACGTGTGGGTTACCAGAAGAAAAGCAAAAGGAAGAAAATAGCAGAATAGCTCAAGGGCGGTGGGGGCAAATAGGAGATTTTTTTTTTTTTTTGTAGGGGGATCGAACTTGGGTCCTTGCGCTTGCACAGCAGGTGGCAAAACCACTGAGCTAAATCCCCGGCCCAGGAGAATTTTTTTATGCAGTGGGAAAAGAGAAAAAGAATCCTCTGATGGGGATCCAGGGACTTACCCAGCAGGTCAGACCTTATCTGAATGAAGCTCTGGGCCATTCTAATAATCTTGGGTTTCTACACATTTGACTCTTCTTTTTCTTCGTTAAAATATATTTTTGTCTTGCTTTGTCCTTGTTGTTCTTTTTTTCAGTCCAGAAAAGGCATGTACAATGTGTGTTAAGGTCTGATTATCCGTTATCTCTTCTGTGGTCTGCCTCAGAGGATACAAAGAACAGATGTCTTAGGCGCTCAGTGAAAGCCATCACTCCAGGGCCCAGCAGCTGACTCCAGAGCCTGGAGCAGGAGCCCAGTAGCACCCTGGGTGGCCAGCAAGCAGGAGGGCAGGAGGCCAAGCTTATGGCTGAGGCCCTCCTCTCCATGGGCAGCCATCCCTCAGCCTCTCAAAGTGTGGTGTCACCAAATGAAATTACAGGGACAACCACAGAGATCCCAGATAGGAATTAAGGTAGTCCTCATGCAAGTTTAAGCATGCCTTTATTTTTTTAATCCCATCTTTGCACTGGCAGTTTTTTTCTTCTTTAACGTCATGAAAGCTATAAAAAGGGAAGTGGCAGGAATAATGGGCTTTGTCGTTTAAGTGGCACACTTTGAATTATGGAGCAACTTAATCACTAGTCTTTCACCCTAGACCAGCAATGGTGAACCTTTTAGAGCTTTCAGTGATACTAAACAGCCCACTGCAGCATGCATGCCATAGGTTTGCCACCACTGCCCTAGACCCTGTAGTGTTTTTCTTGAAGGCTTTTTTTCCCATTTTCTGAATTCCTCTCCAAAATCACTCCGCTCTCCTCTCTTCCTTCCTTTCCCACTGAGCCTGGTAAGAGGGCACCTCTTAGACCAGCACCTTAAGGACAGTCTGCCAACCTTGTGCCCAGGGCCCAAGCCCAGCTGCCTGCCAGGGTCCTGAAGGAAAAGGCCACTTGCCTCTAGGCCACTTAGGCTGGGCTCTCCACACACATCCTTTCTGACCCTTTTGTTGCCTGCCATAGACTTGTACATGGGCATTTATCTTCTTTCCTAATGCCATCAAAAGCACACCCACCAAACTACCACTGAAAGCCATAATGGGCTGGAGTGCTGTGGTCCACCCGTCATTGGATAGAATTTCTCTTTCCCTAATTTGGACTTTACCATAACAGCAGGAGGGTGATGATCCCCATTTTGAAGAAAGGAAACAACAACGGCAGCCAGAGCCAGCTCCAGAAAAGCCCAGGTTGACCCCAAGTGACATTTATGGTATGCTAAGTCAGTTGCTATCCGAAAAAGTGCCCCACTGCGCTTTATCCCCAGGGTATGAAGTCACTCACAAATCGATTTTCTGCTACTTTTGAGGTAGCATCCCTGAAGTACTTCCATACTGAAGACAATCTGCCCTCCCTTGTGGCTTCTCCCATCAGTTCTACACAATTAGAGATGAGACCATAGGTAAATGAGGGTCATTGTTGGTGGATGCTGTACAGCACAGACAACAGACATTTTCACTGTGACACATAGTAAGAAGCACACAGCATCCCAGTGCACAGTTACTCACTGAAACAAGCTCTACAGAGCAGCACCTGGCCTCCCCAAACAGAGTGCACTCTGGAGTTTTGCTTCTAGTCTGTTTGATTTTAAAAATTCTGATTGTATCCTCCACAATTGATTTCATAACCCATAAATAGATTTCAACCCAGTTTCAAAACACAATAATTTTCAAGGGAAATTCAAGCCCTTGGTAGAGGGTAGATAAGCAGGAAAGTTTGAACCCCACCTTCTATCCTGATGAGAATCTAAAGTCACACCTCAGTCAATTCACATACCTCACACATAATAAGAGACTTCTTTTAGGATTTAAGGTATGTTGGCTGATCCTGCAGAAAGTAGGTGGAGTGAGATTGGAGAGCCTGTGAATCCAGCACTACGGTGAATCCACTGAAACACCATGAAATGAAACGCTGTCCTCAAAGGAAAACCAAAAGGAGACCACTGCATTTGTATGACCTACCTGAGAGCATAAGCCTCATATACTCTCCTCAGATTGATGTAACAGTGCTTATTTTAGTATTAGCACAGGGTAAGCTGTACTGCAGGAATAAAAGTTCAGTGGCTTCACAAGATAGATAGATAGAGAGAGAGAGAGAGAGATATGTATACATGTGTATGTATATAATTATTTCTATATAATTACATATGCAATCATTGTTGGAAGTCATATAATAATATAATAATTGCTACTCAGGACAATCTCTGTGGGACTGAACAGAGAAGAGCTGGATGTGTTAGCTAACTTGATTACCATTACATTGTATGATATAGACATTTATCAAATAATCATAAATGTATATAATTTTATTTTTCAATTATACTTCAAAAAAGCTGGGGAAAAAGAAAGGGAAAGAGACAAAAAGGAGAGAAGGAAAGGAAGGAGGAAGAAGGGGATTTTCTTGCACTTTAGTTTGCAATTTACTTTATCATTCACAAAAATTCACCAAATATGTCTGGCTGCATCCAGGTGCCAGCCAGGCATGGTACACCTCCTGCCCTCCCAGTCTTCATTCTCCACAGCACACATGGAGGAAATGGCTCAGAAGGATGGTAGTGGCATGTCCAGCCCCCAAATCTATATGTTTCTATATGTGAAGAGGACTTACTTTTCCTTTTTTCCTTTTATTTGGCTATAAATATTTTGATATCCATCTACAGACTTGATATGCTATGGGTGTCATGGAACAGATGAGGGTAGATCATAAATTTCTCTCTTTCTGTCTCGAATTCTCTCTGTCTCTCTATCTCTCTATATCCATCTCTGTCTCTGATGCGGTCCCTTTGTGTCTCTGTCTCTATATCTGTCTCTGTCTCTCCCTCTCTCTCTGTCTCTCATTCTTTCTTTGTGCTGCAGGGGATCATACCCAGGGCCTCCCTAATCCAAGGCAAATGCTCTGCTGCTGAGCCATATTTCTAATGACAAGGTATGAACAAGACTGTCAGACCCACAAGGAAGAAAGGCTTCCCATCCTGTTTTGTGGAATAGTTGTGTCTCTAGAGCTCACTAAGGACAGAAGCAGGGTGGGCTGAGATACCTCAACCATTCTTGGTATCCTAGGAGCAGAGTGGCACCTGTGGGATCCAGCAGCATCCCACATGCTAGATCACTCCCTTCAGCCAGTGCACTACTGAATTTTCCTCCTGTGGAAGTCAAGGTGGTTACTAGAATACATAGCCACTGTCGATATGATAATGACACAAAAAGTATCTGTGTATTAGAGATGCGTTCACAAACCAGCATCTGATTTCTCTTCTGGAAGCTTATTTGGAATGGTAAAAGGAAGAGGAGCAGTTGCAGCTCTGTTCTGTGCCCTGTGTGTGGAAACACAGACTTCTGCACAGAGTAAATATCTCCTTTGCTGTGTATGGCACCAGCTCCTGTCCAGGTTTGTCTGTTTTGCAGCAAGTACTGTAAATAGGCAAAAGATGGCAAAGGAAAGCAAAGCTCCACAAATTAGACCCTTTGCTGTCAGAGTTACCAACTCTGTATTTCAAGGTACATCTCCACCTCTCACTCTCCCTTGCTGGCTGCAGCCCTGAGAGGGCCTGAGATCTAGCCCTCAGAATGACAGATCCGTTACAGTCTTTCAGTGAAACCACCAATGTCTCTCCCCATCTTCTACCATCAGAGTTGCTGCCTGAGATCATGGTTTATTTGTGTTGGAAAAAGCCCCTGCTGCTTTCCAACCTGGACCGTCTCCCCTGGGGCTGACAGGGGAAAGTCATTGATGTAATAACCCAGCTTGAGCTTAGCTGTCAGCTGCAACAGGCAGGAAGAAGGCACCGCATGGGCTCTGGGCCCAGGGCAGCGAGGTGGCAGGAGATTGCCAGCCGTGCAAAACAATCTTCAAGTTTTCACAGCAATGAAGCCACCTTTGGCATCAGGTTCCTTGGGGTATTGAGTGCCTGTCTCCCTATTCATTTCTCTGCCTCTCTGTATCTCTGTATCTCTCTGTCTCTGATTCCTCTCTCTTCTACCTCTTTCTCACTGTCTCCTCCTGTCTCTCTCACTCTGTCTCCCCTCCTGTGTTTCTACACAAAAGAGCAACCACTACTACTCTTCATCCAACAAGAGTTTTATTCTCCACTTTGAAATACAAAGTATGCCTAGGGCTGCAGACTTCAGCACTACCACCTCTTCACTTTGACTAGCTGTGCCACCTAGCAGGTCAAGTTGCCCTGGGCTGGTTGGCCCCTCCTCCCAGTCCCAGGTGACCGTAGTCCTCTGCCACAGAAGCCTGGCTCTTCTTCCATCACCCACAATGCTCCTGGCTGATTAATTCCACAGACCAATGGTCTGGGGCAAAGGCAAGCAGTTGCCTGATGGTGTTACTTGCTTTTCTTGGGGCAAAGGTGAAGAAGTGTGATTAATGTAGCCAACATTGGCGCAAGGGACACAGA